CCTCCTGACAGCCCCCATATTTGAAGATTTTGGTGAAACCTGGCAAAATACATTAATTATTATGTTCCAGAAGCCCCCAGAAGCTATATGATGGCCCCCAGTGGCCCCAAGAATCTATACAGGGGCCCAAAGTGCGCCCCAGAAGGTATACGATGGCCCCCAGAAGCTATACAAGAGCCCACAGAAACTATACTGTGGTCTCCAGAAGCTATATGGTGGCCCCCAGTGGCCCTCAGAAGCTATATGATGGCCCCCAGAAGCTAATTAGTGGCCCCCAGGAGCTATACGGTGGCACCCAGAAGCTATACAGGGAACCCCAGTGGCCGCAAGAAGCTCTACGATGGCCCCCAGAAGCTATACAGCAGCCCCCAGAAGCTACACGATGGCCCCAAGAATCTATATGATGGCCCCCCAATGGCTCCCAGAAGCTATACAGGGCCCCCAAAGCTATATGGTGGCCCATTGGGGGACACTGTATAGTTTCTGGAGGCCATTGTATAGCTTATGGGGGCTACCGTATAGTTTCTGCGGGCCCTTGCATAGCTTCTGGGGGCCATAGTATAGCTTCTGGGAGCCACTGGGGGCCCCTGTATAGCTTCTGGGGGCTACAGTACAGTTTCTGCAGGCCCTTGCATAGCTTCTGGGGGCTATCGTATAGCTTCTGGGAGCCACTGTGGGCCCCTGTATAGCTTCTGGGGGCCACTATATAGCTTTCGGGGCCACTGGGGGCCACCGTATAGCTTCTAGGGGCTACTGGGGGGCCCTTTATAGTTTCTGGGAGACATTGGGGGCCACCATATAGATTCTGGGGGCCATTTTGTAGCTTCTGGGAACCACCATATAGCTCCTGAGGGTCACTATTTAGCTTCTGGGGGCCATCATATAGCCTATGAGGGCCACTGGGGGCCACCGTATAGCTTCTAGGGGCTACTGGGGGCCCTTCACATCTTCTGGGAGCCATTGGGAGCCACCATATAGATTCTGGGGGCCATCATGTAGCTTTTTGGGGCTCCTGTATAGCTTCTGGGGGCCATCGTTTAGCTTCTTGGGGCCACTGGGGTCCCCTGTATAGCTTCTGGGAGCCACCGTATAGCTCCTGGGGGCAACTAATTAGCTTCTGGAGGCCATCATATAGCTTCCGAGGGCCACTGGGGGCCACCATATAGCTTCTGGAGACCATAGTATAGTTTCTGGGGGCCCTTGTATAGCTTCTGGGGGCCATAGTATAGCTTCTGGGGGCCCCCGTATAGCTTCTGGGGGCCCCCGTATAGCTTCTGGGCGCCACCGTATAGCTCCTGGGGGCCACAGGGTTTCCTGTATAGCTTCTGGGAGCCACAGTATAGCTCCTGGGGGCCACTAATTAGCTTCTGGGGGCCAACATATAGCTTCTGGGGAGCACAGTATAGCTTCTGGGGGCCACTTGGTGCCCCTGTATAAATTCTTGGGGCCACTGGGGGCCATCATATAGCTTCTGGGGGCTTCTGAAACCTAATAATTAATGTATTTTGCCAGGTTTCACCAAAATCTTCAAATATGGGGGCTGTCAGGGGGGGGGGTTAAATTAATTAAGTTATAATTTTTCTAAACAAATTCATGCGACTATTTATCTCTAAAGCAAAGGGAGAATAACTTCCTTTTAACTCATTATGAATGTGAAATGTAAAAACCTCATTATCAAGTGATGTTACCATAGCATCTGAAATGTTAGAAATATTACATAAACCATATGATGAATCATCTTCACTTCTAATCATGTTATATACTTCAGATGCTTTAAGAATCAAGAATATGAAGAATATGATGAAAATCAGACTATATGTATACTATTTATATGAATCATTGAAAGTGCATGGTAAATTATAAGATTGGATCTTTAATATACAGGGTCGAGATAACGGTTTTGTCCCCTGTGAATGATAGTCAAAATGCATGTAACCTTTCCACATACTTATTAGTTCAGTTCTAGACATGTACATTTTTACTCAATAAGATTGAAACAACTATGGTTGTTACTTTTTTTGTTAATTAAATATTCTTTTTATAATTGTCAAACAATGACGTTCACAGTAGCTGCCTCCAAAGCTGGATAATTTTGTTAATTCTGATCCAATTTTGAAGATTTGTTGTCTCTTTAATGTTGCTTATATCTTCCACTCATCAAATAAGGGACAAAACTATGCACACATTCTGTCATACGGCCTCAGTTCTAATAGATATGTTGCTATACTAGGATATTCTGAACTAAAAATGGATTGATGACGTCACAATTAATGCAAATTAGCTAATTTGCATAACTTAATATTGTAACCATATAGTAAATTTAGTAAGGTTTAATCAGATACCAATATCATCTCTATAGACCAAATAATGGCGAATTTACATTGATTCAAGACTCCAAGGTAAGACGTAATGTATATTATTGTCAAATAATGACATTCACGATAGCTGCCTCGAAAGTTACATAACTTTCGTAATACTGATTCAATTTTGAATCTGTTTTCACTTTTATGTTGCTTATACCTTCTACTAATAGAATAAAGGACAAAACCTTTCAGAAATTTTGCCATACGGCCTCAGTTCTAATAGATTCGTTGCTATAGTTGGAAATTCTGAACCAAAAATAGATTGATGACGTCATAATTTATGCAAATTAGATAATTTGCATAATTGAATATCAGAACTTTATTGGAAATTTAACGAGGTTCAATTTGGTACCAATATCATTTCTATAGACCAAATAATGACAGAGCTACAAATGATTTAAGATACCAAGGTAAGATGTCTAAAGATGCGTAACCATGGTAACTGAATGCCGCCATAAAAGTACTATGGGACATTAGTTGGCAATGTTAACAAATGAATTCATTAAATAGACACCCTAGGAATTACAAAAATGTATGTAACTTATTCACACCTTATGGGTGCATGGGAACCCCTTGTTCCTACTATACTAATACATTCCTTTGTTAATTTTTGTACTTTGCGTTCACGGTTACGTTGTGAAAAACATCGTTAGCTTAACCTCTCCTATATTGTGCACAAATAACCCAAATAAAGATGTCGGTTGGGTATTATGTATGTAACATGCCTGAAAACGATATAAGGATATCGATATAAAGACTAGGAGGTGTATTATCAGAGTGAAGAAGGCTAGTTTGGATAAATCATGCAATATTAAAAGTTATATTTTTGTCACCTCTAACTTTTGACTTAATTGTCTGTTTTCAACGAGAATTGCACGGATCTTGTCTGAATTTTATGCTGCAAGCATAGATTGCTATTGCTCTGGTATGTCTTTATCGTATTACGATTATATCAAAATCAGTTATCGGAAAGTTAGTCCCAATCAAGTAGTACCTGACCTGCGTTGTGAATTTCAATAATGCCTTGGTCACATATGCTCCGATCCATCGGCCGGCGCCCGGCCAATTGAGTGTTTTGTTAAATATTTTATTCAATTTTGAACAAAATACTCGCGGCCGGGCGCCGTAGTGAAAATCGGAGCAAATGTGACCAAGGCATTGGCGAATCTAGAGAATGTAATGAAAGATGATGTAACTATCTAGTAAAAATACTAATGTTTTGTAATAGCTTTATTTCTAAACATAGCGTCGTCTTTGCAATGCTTATATTTCTACGATCAAAATGGTGTGATTTTTGAAAAATTTGAAGCAATATTACCAAATCCAGCTTGCTGGAATATCTAAATTTTATGATCAATGAAACCCATCAAGAAACTGATTTTACTTAGGTTCACAGATGAGCGATCTCATCTTATTGAAAACTGGAATGTCAGTTTAGTATAAATGTGTATAAACCATTACAAATTCATGCTGTTCTTTGTGATTTATAATTGATAAGTTCGCTCTCAACTCCATGGGTATTTCTGCTCTGGTGGTTGTGGTATTAATAGGATAAAAATAGACTGACTGGTTTAATGTAAACGTTTATATTTCAACTGTTTTTAAATTGAGAATTTCTGTCGATACCCAAACTCGTTTAAGGTGCTATGGAAGTTAACAGGAAATGACAAAACAGGAAGTGACAATTTTTTTTGAATTTTTATATATTTTTGGAATAAAGATAACAGAGTTCTGGTTTGACCTCCAGTCAATTTAACTTTATCCACATATCATTTACATGACCAGGATCACAATGTGCATGGTCAGAATGACCCTAAACATGATGAAATAACCTTTTAGCCCTTTGAAAGTGTGACTGAAAAAAAGCTAAAAGTAGGAGCGTATAAGGGAAGGTCACTGAACAGAATCTTTTGAATTTTTCAGAAAATGTGCCCAATAAATTGCTCTAAACGATACAATCTTTGAAAATTTGATATCATTCATAGAAAAAGAAAAAAAATGAAAAAACTGATTTAAAAAGCGATCTATTTTCCTTTTTATGACCGCCATTTTTGTTTAAGACAATTTTCTAAAATTTCAAAGATTGTACTAGTTAGAGCATTATATTGGGCACATTTTCTGAAAAATTCAAAAGATTCTGTTCAGTGACTATCCCTACGCTCCTACTTTTAGCTTTTTTTCAGTCACACTTTCAAAGGGCTAAAAAGGTTATTTCATCATGTTTAGGGTCATTCTGACCATGCACATTGTGATCCTGGTCATGTAAATGATATGTGGAAATAGTTAAATTGACAGGAGGTCAAACCAGAACTCTGTTATCTTTATTCAAAAAATATCTAAAAATGCAAAAAAAATTATCACTTCCTGTTTTGTCATTTCCTGTTAACTTCCATAGCACCTATATATTATATTATATATTCATATATGTAGCCCCTCGCTTTTGTTACATTGACAAAAGTCCGTTATATTACCAATGTATGTTACTTTGACGACTTTCGTCAATGTAACAAAACGATGGTCTAAATGCATACATGAATTACTAAACGATACATATGGACAATTTGAATATATTGTTTTCAAATAAGAACGTGAAAATGAATATTACAACTGATAAAATGATTAAAATTGTAGCCTTACCTTCCTACGATAATGTATTCAGCCTATTTCGCGTCTAGATACTCTGCGCGCTGTCTAGTTACTGTATGTATAAACTTCCGAAGCTCTCTTTTAAGCAGCGGAGTGGAACGAATGCAACGAGTGTGCGAATCATCAAATTCGTGAATGCATTTATATTACACATACAGGGTGACCCAAAACACAGAACCCTCCAAAAATAAAATAATTTCTTTCATACATTAATGTAATCAGCTTCATTTTTCATGTACAGAAACTACAATCTATGGTTGAAAATGTGAGATCAAATTCTGTACATAACATTCAATATTCTTCTTGTTATGGTCAATTCAATAACCAGCTATGACACGCATACCCCCCCCCCCCATGGTGTTGTATATTAAATATACCTGTCCATTTATTGTAACTTACGATTGCTACCATTTGCTCACTTCTGAGATGACGGGGCACACGCGTAGTGAATAAAACATCGATTTGTTAAATTGAAGAATTTCCTTTGATTGTTATAATGCTGCGTCTACAATACATTTTCTTGATCTCTTTTTATATGACACACTTATGTTGATTGCTGATCTATCAATTATCTATAGTATCTGCTTATCTATTTTTGGCAATATGAATTCCAACTCATTTATAATATTTAGTTATTTATAATTATTTTTTCTTAAGATCCGGACTTTGAATTTTCATAAATATTACCATAAATACTTTTGTATTTTCATACAGTGACAAATTTTTGTAAAAAATCTGAATTGTGCAATTTTTGAATAGAAAAAATAATTTGCTTCTCCAGTGTTTGTTGTTATTGAAGTTATATTCCTACGGGTCTCATATGGAGTGGGTTGATTTACATCTCTCTTTGGAAACACATGGTGTAAATGGAATAAAAAAACACAGTGATCATGAAGATTTGTTTTGTATTTCAATTGTCAATATAATAATTTTATAGAAATAACCGAAATGTTTAAATGCAAAATCAAGTACGTGTAAATAGTAGTCATACTGAAATAATGTCCGTGATGAATATCGATAAGTCGGTTCAATTATCACGGTGTTATAGCATGACGGTTACGTCAAGGCGATTTGCAAGTTTTGCGGTAACGATAACAAAAAATAGCCGGATGGGAAAGACAGCATGTCCTCTTTCTCGCCTGTAGGCAAGATTCACAGATAAGATTTCCTTTTCAACTAGTTCCATTCGGTGACGTATGGATGGTTATAACGTACCATATTCTATGGCCACTGAGTGGCTAGAGACTCGAGTAAGTTATAAATATAACGACTAGATCAAATCTGCCAGGTGGTTTACTAGAAGCTATGTAGGCTGTAAACTTACCGACTGAGATATCCAAGTTCATAATTTTAGTCAGTTCTGTGATTTCTCAGTATATGTGCCTCAGACCCACTCAAACTCCCGGGCTCAAAATATTAACTGTAAGTAAACTGTGCCATAAAACAAGCCATAAAATGACAAATCCAGAACAGGAATGTGGTGTATTGTAAATAATAAGGTCAATACCTGAGACTACCATAATTGTTGTGTTAGTCTCCATGCAGTCAATACTAAGTTATATAGCCTAAGTTAGTTGTCAGGAAATTTTTATAAAATAAGGTCAGAATGTTTCTTACATGTATCACCCTATGCTTAGTGAGCGGAGCTAATTTCAAGGGTGATGGTAAAGACGAGGCAGGGCGCCCAAAAACCAAAAAAATATTAGTACCATAATCTTTTAAGTCGTATTATTGCAGCATAGGGTGATGATATTGTGATATTTTATGCTGTTTTAGAAGTGAAAGATGTTAAACTATGCATACAGTTTGTTTTACATCCAATAAAACGAATAGTTAAGATGAAACAGTCGTTTAAAGATACAATTTGAATTTACCGCAAGAAATCACAACCTAATATTGTCAATATGTCAATAATTCCTGATCGATGTCACATATAAAGATATATGTACCTAGATATGTTTTATTTTTTCATATATGCGAAATAAGGCGGTCTCTGGTTATGTACATCCAATGCAAAATGAATGTTTACTAGGGTGTCTATTCGGCGATCAGAATTTCGATGACGAGCAATGGCGATGTAATTTGCGAAGAAAGCATCAGTGCACCTAGTTACAGGCCAGGTTTGGGCGCCATGCCTTGTCTTTACCATCACCCTTGAAATTAGGTCCGCTCACTAAGCATAGGGTGATGTATGTTGTGAAAGTTTCATGAACGATCTAAACCTTTGACAGGGGATGCCATCTTTTGTACAGGTAACTTATTAAATTATTTCCCAGAATGCATTTGCCTATATGTCTGTTTGTCGCTGTTGCCTAAACATTTTGAAATGAATGAAGATACTTCCCTATTATCACAATTTACACGTTAATGTAAGTAAGTATGCGATGATATATATGTTTTCTAACTTATGGGTTGTATTACATTTATTTTGAAATGTCTTGAGAAGTTTTTCATCCCCGGTTTAGCCGTAAACAAGATTTGAATTAAAAAAACGGGCAAAAAACCTGCTATTTTTAGGCGTCAGTAGAACGGCAAAAATAAGAAATTGGGAGACCATTGTGCAATAATATATGGAAAAGTATATTCATAATGTACATGAATGACATTTGTATATTTCAGATTTTTTAGTTTTTTGTGCAATAAGCCTGTGCCGTCTTGTAATTTGAAGAATTTCAGCCATGTTAATCTTATTGAAAATAACATGGCAGAGAAGCATCCAAATATAAGAGGCCACACACTTTATAAGCCAAACTAGAAGCAATCCAAGATATACTTACCTTCTTCTAAGGCCACTGTATCGTGGCCTTCCAGTACAGATATATTTCTGCATGAACAACTGGTCATGTCGTAATCATAAAATTTGAAATCATATGTCCGCCATTTTTCCACATCACAATTTGAATTGGGAGTTTTGGTCTTATTACCTCACCAAAAATTCCAAAACACACATAAAGTGATCAGTGTATTAGTTCACATCTTCTGGATCGCTAACTTAGAATTTACAGCCAGTTACTAATGTCAGACGTTAACGACATTTCGTCCAGTTTTCGAACATCGCCATTTTTCTTGGAGCCATTTTGTTTTAATTTTAGACGAAATCCTGATGAAATCATGTCATATCTCATCAAGGAGCCGAGCTGGGTCCGGTTTGATTAATGATTTATTTATCTGGCGATTTTTAAAATATTCAATAAATTTATGACACCCCGGCCAGCTTTTTTCAAATAGAGTTCACAGTATTCCAGATGAAATCCCCTCTAGCCAAGTATTGGCTAGAGACTCGAGTAAAGATATACAAATGTCATTCATGTACAATAGGAATATAGTTTTCCATATATTATTGCAAAATTATATTTTGATTTCTTATTTTTTAGCTTTTACTGACGTAGTTAAACAGTGAAATGGACTCTAGTCTAAAGATAAAACACTTATTCTAGTGAGAAGTTCATATGGTTAAAATAACGAAATAATGAAATGTTACCATGTGTCTATTTGAGACTAATAAACCTCAACCATCAAAAGTTGTCACAATGAGCTAAATTCTAAGTTTCAAATCTCAAACTCTCCCAAGCGGTAGAAAAATAATTCCCGTTCACTCTAAGTAGTACAATAAATGAATCCAAAGCTTCATATATGCAAATAATGGATAAATTCCTACCAAATGGAACGAATGTTTTCATGAATCTCCATGTTTGTGATCCAAGGAGGATTGCTCCCAGAATGCATCATCAGTTAACTTCATTTACTCGTGACAGGTTTTAAAATGGTGGAACGGCATTTTGAAAGCTGGCACGTGTCATGTTGCATTCTGGGAGCCAATCCTCCATGCAACGTAATCGGGCTCCAAAATCACCTCAACATTTGAAGAGTCAGCATTAACATGTGAATATCACTTCAAATTTTTAAGTTCCTATTTGTCATATAGACACAAATTCCACTATATTTATATGTTCCGGGACGGGGAAAATAGAGCACTCAATTCACTGAGGTAAGAATTTATGACATATGTGACAGAATATCTTTTTCATAGTGTTAGTAATTATTTATGTTCATGCACTTTAAGCCCCATTAGCTTTCTAAAGGTTAGATTTTCAAAAAATACAAATGATTATATATTTTGGCAAAATAACTGTCAACTTACTCTTTCGAGTTAAGGTGCCATGGAAGTTAACAGGAAATGACCAAACAGGAAGTGACAAAAAATTTTGCATTTTTAGACATTTTTTGAACAAAGATAACAGAGTTCTGTTTTGACCTCCAGTCAATTTAACTATTTCCACATATCATTTACATGACCAGGATCACAGATGTGCATGGTCAGAATGACCCTAAACATGATGATTTTTAGCCCTTTGAAAGTGTGACTGAAAAAAAGCTAAAAGTAGGAGCTAGGGAAGCTCACTGAACAGAATCTTTTGAATTTTTCAGAAAATATGCCCAATATAATGCTCTAACTGATACAATCAAATTTTAGAAAATTGTCTTTGACAAAAATGGCGGTCATAAAAAGGAAAATAGATCGCTTTTCAAATCAGTTTTTTCATTTTTTTCTTTTTCTATGAATGATATCAAATTTTCAAAGATTGTATCATTTAGAGCAATATATTGGGCACATTTTCTGAAAAATTCGAAAGATTCTGTTCAGTGACCTTTCCTACCTCCTCCTTGTAGCTATTTTTCAGTCACATTTTCAGCGGGCTGAAAATGTTATTTCATCATGTTTAGGGTCATTCTGACCATGAACATTGTGATCCTGGACCTGTAAATGGTATTTGGAACTAGTTGAATTGACTGGAGGTCAAAAAATGTCTAAAAGTGCAAAAAATTTTGTCACTTTCAGTTTTGTCATTTCCTGTTAACTTCCATGGCACCTTAACTCATCTTTCAGATTTAAGATGAGGCTGCCCCTCCTTTGGTAGTCCAACAACATAAGACCTAGCCTGGGGCCTCGTTTCTTATCTGACATGTCTTGTGGCCCTGGCTAGGTCTTAACTCCAATGTCATTTTGGCATAAGTGTGTAAAGTTAATAGTTTCGCTTGTTTAGACAAGCGGAACTAATTAAACCCTAAAAACATGGTAATATTACATAAAGAATGTGATCCAAACATGCATACATACCTTATGAATAAATGCACACCATCCCATATCTCCACTAAGACCTTATTGATGCATAATTACGAAAATATTGGAGACAGGTTTGGAAAATATCGGTCAGTTATGGTAACATCAAAATTGCAAATCGTATCAGAAATTAACCGTCATTGCGGCACTGTAGGTTTGCAATAAATAACTTTTTTTCTTATATACACGCGCTACATGAATCAATCAAAGATACCTGTTATCCTCCAAATTGATCCTATCATCCCGAGTAATCGCGATAATAATTATCAATCTATTTGTCAACAATTTCTTTCGCTATAATTTAATTTTAACGGGGACGAACATATGCAATGACGGACATGTCATTTTAGAAATTTGTAAGTATAGCTTCATTTTACTATAGGATATAAATGAACCTTTAACACAATAATATTGTGTTAAATCGCTTGATGTTATGTGTTTTTATATTATTGTCAAGTATCAGTTGCATTTTATCGAGGAAAAGTGGTTTCGATGGACCCAGAACTTGCGACAAAGGAAAGAATAGTAAGGAGGTTAAACTCAATAACGGCCAAGATAATTCCTAAAAGTAAAGAACGCCATTATTGAGTTTAACAACGTTGAACTACTCCCCTGGTGGTTTTGTCTACTATTTCAAGATAGATGTCCTTGGACTATCAGAGTTTTATAGTGTCACTAGGGGTGGGGTTGTTTCCATATTGAATATTTATCATATACGTCTACCACCCCACTTACGTTGTGGTCGTACAATCTATGGTTCAGACAACAGTGTTTTTTCAACATTTGAGAAAGTACTACGCACCTAAAAAATAAGAAATCTAGATTATTATGCAATAAGGTATGAGTACCGTAATCCAACACCAAATTCGAAAATTCATAACAATACTTTGCACATATGGCGTTCGTGACCAACTATAAAACGCTTACCCCCCATAGTGTTATATATCAAAATGTACTTGTTCATATAGGGGTTCGATTGATCTACATCAAATTATAGGGAGTCAGGTTACTTTTTGAGATATCAGCGTCCATTTATTGTGACTCGCGTTTGCTACCACTTCCTCAATTCTGATATGATGGGCAAACGCGTAATAAACATGCTCACGTCGGAACTATTTTTGACCTACATCGCTATTTTCGTAATTCAAATGAAAGTTGAACTCCTACTCTTTATTTTGATACCAAATAGTGGCATACTAGGTACCCTAGAAGCCAACTATGGCGTTATTTAGAACAAAACCACAAGTTTTTAAATGGACTATATAGGGGTCATACCTTTTGGCGGATGGATATGGAACCTCATACCTTAATGTGTTATGACATCACACTGATTTTTGTCTCTGCAACTTTTTTTGGCAGAAAATATCATTTCTAGTTCAAAAATGCATAAAAACGTCGGAACTGGCTGAATATGTGAAAAATTTATCCATTTAGGCTAGAAAGGGTTAATTTGCCCTACCCCAAATACGTCTAAATATGCTAGTCTAACTTTGCCACTGTGACGTCACAAATCTAACCTGACTATCTCTGAGTTTATTGAAGAAAATGATACGTCTGACAAACAGCTTTCATTCCCTATATGGCCACCTTCTACTAAGAGTTGCATCATTGACTAAATCTAAGACAAAGGGCCTGTGTCCCGAGGATTTTGACTGAAATTTGGCCATTTTCGCCCAAATCTAACTAAATTGCAGTTTCCCTCACACCTGTATTTTGAAATAAATATTGCTACAATGTAGCAATTTGAAAATCACACATGCTTACTGTTTCTGTCGACCTGACACGTGTATCTAGCCTGTAAAAATGAAAAATCGCTACATTGTAGCAATTTCACTGAGATATTGGCCCTGAAAATCATGTAATTTTAGCAAAAAATGAAGAAATAACCTGCAATTTTGACGGAATTTCAGAGGGCTTTCTTTCATTCCAGACCCTCCACGGGCCTCTTATGACCACTCTTATACTCACAGAATGGTTGAAAGTGATTTCAAATCATTGTTTGCCCTACGCAGAACGAAAAAATCGATTCTGTTCTCAAAATCTGCTAGAATATTGGTCTCTGGCCAACTAGCAGACAATTTTAGGCCTCATATTAAGGTATGAGTACCGTAATCCAACACCAAATTCGAAAATTCATAACAATACTTTGCACATATGGCGTTCGTGACCAACTATAAAACGCTTACCCCCCATAGTGTTATATATCAAAATGTACTTGTTCATATAGGGGTTCGATTGATCTACATCAAATTATAGGGAGTCAGGTTACTTTTTGAGATATCAGCGTCCATTTATTGTGACTCGCGTTTGCTACCACTTCCTCAATTCTGATATGATGGGCAAACGCGTAATAAACATGCTCACGTCGGAACTATTTTTGACCTACATCGCTATTTTCGTAATTCAAATGAAAGTTGAACTCCTCCTCTTTATTTTGATACCAAATAGTGGCATACTAGGTACCCTAGAAGCCAACTATGGCGTTATTTAGAACAAAACCACAAGTTTTTAAATGGACTATATAGGGGTCATACCTTTTGGCGGATGGATATGGAACCTCATACCATAATATATGGAAAAATACTGCACACAAATGTCAGATTATTTAGACCAGTGCATTAAGCATGTGCCCTCTTGTAATTGACCCTTTTCCATATAAATGGGAAAATAGATGGCATCCCAAGTAAAAAGACATGGCAATTCTCATGTAATAATTGGTTAACTTTGGTCTAATAATTATGCATTTTGATAAAAATTAACCTATTTGTTAAATGAGCATTAAATCAATGAAAGTTGAATGCCAATAAATAGCTATTTATTACACCTATTTATTATTCTAACAACTATGTTATAATGCTCTTTGAATAATTGGGTAACTTTTTGTCATCCTTGCTACCCTAGGTGATAAAAATTAGCTAATTGTTAAGATTGGACTTATAAGAAATGTGGCAGTGAGTATTAGCAAAATATTAACTTTCCCGCTCTTTTTAAACCAAAAGAAAAATGGCTGACAAAGAATGTTCAACTGTAAGAGATTTGGGTAATTTTATGATTTTATAACAATAGTATGAAAATGACCAATCAAATATAGATTCAGAAGTTACTGACATACTTGAACATTCTGCATGTCTACTTTGTGAGAGGTAAAATGTAAGTATTGCTGTTTTATTCCAGTTTAGATGGGCAAATCTTCTTTTCTTTGTGAATTTATGATTCATGAAGGCTAAATTTTAATTCTTCATACAGTCAAACTGGTCAAGCAAAAATGTGTTGTGTATGACCAATTGTACCATGCAGTAAAAATTATAAGGTATTTTATAAAGATTATGAAGATAAATACTGCTGGAGGCCTAGCCTAGAGGGTCCTTCAATAACTGTGAGCCTTCTGGCCTTCAGGACAATTCTGAATGGGTAAAATTATCAGTGATGTCCCATAATAATTGCTTATATCATCTTACATACCCAGGGCCAACCTAAAATGAAAAATTTGCGTGAGATTTCCAAACATTGTGGTACTTTTACAGGAGATTTTTCCAAAATCTGGTAGTTTTAAAAAAATTGGTAGTTTTCGCCGTAGATTTTTAAAAATCAGGAGTTTTTTAGGTGAATTTTGAAACAACTGGAGTTTTAAGGTAGATTTGAAATAAAACGGTACTTTTTTAAAAAAGCGGATTATCTCCAGTTTTTTTCTAATAAAAGCAATAGTTTTTGCGGTAAATTCTGCAAAAAGTGGTACTTTTGTGGGAGATTTTTGACAAAATCTGTATAGTTTTTGCAAGAAATTTTGAAAAACTTTGGACTTTGCCATGAATTAATTTATACGCTTTGCATGGCCAGATTTGAATATTCACGCAAATTGCATGTACGTCACACATTTACTTCGAATTTGTGTGTCCCTACCCACCTAATTTTACATATTATTTAATGTTTTTGGTTCTTATAGTAGAAAATAAATTTTATAGACCATAATGCATCTTGGGTAAGAGTAATGCAACAAATAGGTTTTAAATAGCTAATAAATAGGTAATACTCTGTTAATTCTTAGCTAACGAATACCTAAAAAATTTATCATGCAAATTAGAGAATATTACCACAATAAATATGTACAATATTTAGGTAATATTCTGTTAACATATAGCTTATTATTGGAAGATAATCAATACATGATTATTAGATTTCTAATTTTACCTAATTATTACAATGTAATTTTCATTTAATAATCAGTCAATATTCTACATGAGCGTTGAATGTTAACAATACCTTATTATTAACACCTATTTTTTAACGTAATTCTCTCTAATTTGCATGATAAATTTTTCAGGTATTTGTTAGCTAAGAATTAATAGAGTATTACCTATTTATTGTCAATATTTTCCCATTGACTTTTTTCACTTGGGATCATGGGTATTGGTAGGGCTAAATAACATGCCAACTCAATGGCAAGAGTCACTTAATTTCTTGATTTAACAAGTAATTCCATTTGGATCAACTAGGGGATTTAGCCCGACCTTTTTTTGAATACTTGAAAATCTCTAGAATTTGAATAAAGGTAAATAATTGTGCAAATCAAAGTTGTTTTGATAGAAAATTACACACAGAATTCAAATATGATATCAAATAGAATAAAATGTTAGTCTTAAGTGGTTAAAAATGCAGATCTCCTAAAAGTGGGCTAAGCGGGCCAGCCCTTATTAGGGCCTACACTGAATCCAAGATATACAAATGTCATCAGTGTGCAATATGAATATATTTTTCTATATATTATTGCACAAGTCTTTAGATTTCTTATTTTTTAAGTTCAACTGGATGCTTTGAAGCAGTGTAACAGACTGTATATGATAAATTGTTAAACATATTAGTTGTTGAATACATGTAATTGCAGTAATATGATTGGACCCATTTCTTGCAGCATACAAGATTTTTGCGAGACAGTATCGTACACCTTGGAAATGTCAATAACCCGGTAGTTCATCGCATTGTCAAGTTTCGTGCAGTGAATAATTTGCAGTTTGAAGATAACTTGGAGAAATCAATTTAATATTTTAGTGGAAATATTATGATAAAATTTTTATTTACAGATGTTCAAAATGTAAAGTAAGACGATATACTAAAAATATCAGATGTCCGTCCAACAATACCTCAATGGGAAGAAAAGGCCTCCAGAGGTTTAGGAGCTATACTGTACTAAAACAGTCAATATGAATTTTGCTAAACTGTTACCAGTGTTGAGTGAAGGGGATGAGAGCATTGACTTGGCCACTGTGTTAGCTAACAGAGAGGACTGCCTGAGTGAGATAGAGCTATGGGCCCTGTGTAATGAATGTTGCAAAGCACTCAAAAATATTTCAAGTGCCTCAGAGATGTTTCAGTCATTGTGTGTGACCCCTGAAAGTCTAGCTTTTGACTCAGATGGCGCTATATGTTTTCTAGACATAACAACAGGTGAGTTAAAACTCTCGTAGAGTTTTTTTTATTAAATAACTAGACTGAACTGTTCACACTCGCAAGTGGCATCTCCATATATGGGCAAAAAGGTGGAGTTAACAATAAGCAATGCAGGGATTGACACGATTGACACGAAGAAGTCTCGATGAATCTCGCTTAAACTCCGCCCCTTCTTCGTGAAAAATCACGTGAATTCCGGCTTTTGCTCGGTCATATCCGGGCATCTCGGCTACAAACCCAATCAGAAGTTTCAATTTCCACTGACGCCGCATACATTATCTCAAGTCTCGCCCAATATTTTTATGTATACGTTAATCAGGTACTACATGTAGTAATCAAACATTATTCATGTGCCAAAAAACTTGCCAGTTGCCATAATGGAAAATGATGCCAAGCTATTAGGAACTCCAAAACTATAAAGAACTCTCTAATTTTGATATACCTTATTACCTGATACCTTATACCTGGAATCTTCTGAAGTTTAATTGGTTAGATACTATCCAATGAAGCTAATTGGTATACGTACATTACATCTTGGACCTAGAATATTAGTTATCCCAGTGAGTTCTATCTATTCATGCTATTGTGTAAGGGCATTTAAAAAACCAATTCTCTGAAATTGTAATTTCTATCTTAGCCATTGTTTTAAGTCATTGCTTTCACACATACATGTACATTTGTTGTTACCAATGATATGTCTTGACTTTATTTGTGTTTATGAGACGAGAGTTAACAGCCATCGCAAATTCTACACAATCAAAAATGATCATTGAAGTAGCACAGTTATTTGTGTTGAAGATAAGTCCCTTATTATATTACAAGTACATGTACTGTTCATGAATGCAGACTAGAAGACCTGAAAATTGTTTGCTTAATTCAGGTTGTAACTGATAAATAGGGTACCACAGTAGATACTTCTCTTATTTTATCGCTAAAATCAGTCCAAACTACCTAATCCAAATTGCTTACATTCAAATGAAATAGAATTCATTGATTGTATCATCGATTGCATGGTTTATCGTCCAGATTATAAGATTCATTTGTAAAAGTAACATTTTGAAAAATCTCCTTTTAAGTTTATTTCAAATTTTTGGTTATAACCCATTGGATCCATCCAACTTATATGTTCATCTAATAAAACTGTTTTCCAATAATATATGATCAGAAAACTTATGTGGCCAAAAGCTGAACTCATCAAATCATTGCTCATGTACAAACATGGAACCATGACCCAGTATACAAAATAAAAGATACATGAAATATACATATATATTAAATACATGTAGTGGTAACTGGTGAAGTAGAGAATTATTTATCAATTTCAGACTATTGATTTGTCATATAATTTCAAAATTCTTCGTCCAAGCATTTGTGTTGTTTTATATGCCTCTGATTCCCCAGCTTTTCAGAATGACACAATCGTCTTGTTGAAGTAAGATCTTATGTCAACACATTTAACGTCAGTTTTGCTTCTATAGAACTAGTGGAAAAGCTATTGTGTACTTTGAATAGATATTGATTAGTGGACCAAAGGAAAGATTAATGTGCAGGTATTTTATTTACACTCGAATTGGCATCAAATGATAACATTTTGCCAGCAATTCAGTGCCAGGTAATGTGCTCCCATTTCATTTGGCAGTCTTCCAAATTTTAGTTTAGTTTTTTTATATTTTTCATTTGTATCATTTTACAGATATAAGTGGCATTTGCTCTGAACCTATTTTAATGAAATCCCATTCAATATTAGACCTGTTTTAAATTAATTTTGCATTCTTCCAATATATTATTAATATAATTCCAATTTGAAATTAATTCCAATTCAATACAAATCAGGTGTTCTCCTCAAATATGTTTAACTGTTTTCTTATCAAATAAAAGTGTTGACTTGAAAGTTGGAACAATTATTTAAAATCAACAAGGGCAATCTGCCTTGAAAATTTTTGTACCTATTCTACAGTAAATAAATAAAGAACAATTCTTTTCGAGGGAATGTAGTTTCCCTACTATTGTTTGCACAGTCAGGCTAGTACATGAATTTTATTTAGTATAGTGGCTGATTTTGTATGGATTCCCTTAATGTTTTATTCACTTTCTGTAACGGAAATTTATAAGCAGTTTCTATGAATAAAGAAATGAAATATTTATTTGAAATGAAAGAGGAGTGCGACATCATGCATTTTGTTTGGTATGTATTACAGAGTGAAAATCAATTGAGAAAAGTATGATTTAATTAGATATTATATACTATGTAAGTGAAGAACCAAAGACATGTACTAGTACTTAGTACATTGGTTTAGTCTGGGTACAACATTATTTTCATTTGTTAAAGGACGATTTTCGGTTTGGAGAACGAAGTTCATCAATCTAAATGAGCATTATCCCTGCTTCGGAGAAATTTGATTTTTTTACATAATATAGATTTGAATGTCTTCTTTTGAATAGTCATAATTTAATTTGGGTAATATTTCTAGATTTTTGGCAAAAAAAATATTAGCGCAGTATACTGATGAACTTCTTTCCCCAAATCGAGACTTGTATTTTATTGAATCGGTCAAATTGAGCGTTATCCCTGCTTCAGACCAATTTGTAATTTTTACATCTTGTAGATTTAAATTATTGGGTAATATTTCTATATTTTTCATGAAAAAAATTATTAGCCCAGGAGACTGTTCTCCAAAGCGAGAATTGTCCTTTCAGGTTGTGCAACGACACTGGCTGTGTATGATAGAGCTGAATGTCATCATTTTTCAATGTTCCAAACATTACATATGACAGCATTAACACTGTACAGTGTATATATATATTTTTCAGATCCTGATCCCATGTATGTCCCTCCTGAGTATGAAAAAGTTGGCAACTCTCACAAGGTAAACATTTAAAATGCTGTCTGCTTACATATTATATGTACCATTTCTCTGAACTGTGAATGGAGTGTCTGGTTTTATAACTTTTGTTTATAATTTTAGAGCATTAACTTCATGCCTGTTTACTATTTAGGTTGTCATTTATTGATGCAATCCTCATTAGTCAGCCACATGTTATTTTTAAATATGAACTCATTCCACACATTGCTTAACAATTTTTAGTTTTACACAAACAGTGCACTTAGAGAAAAGAGTGTGAAGAATATTTTTTTATGAAATGAATAAAAAACAAGAAACTTCAGTGAGACAATTCAGTGACCTAGACTATGTTTTTTAACTGCCCACGGGGCAAGTATATTGCATAATATTTAATAACTTTTCCCCCTAGGTATCATGAAAAAGAACAATGAATCCATGCGTTGCAAATTATGTGCACACATTTTCAACAAAAGCAGTTCATCCAAGTGCTAATTGAGCTGTGGCAACTTTGTGGGCTGCTCTTGTGGGCCAACTGCGTCTGCTCTTGTGGGCCAACTGCGTCTGCTCTTGTGGGCCAACTGCATCTGCTCTTTCAGGAGTTTCACTGCAATAAACCGTGGTATCTTTCAAAAGAATTAGTGAGAGTATGTGTGCTTGGATAAGCTATTTTTGTTGAAAACACATGAGCATGTAATTTGCATTGCAGGGCCTATTGTTCTTTTAGTGATACCTGGGGTGAAACCTCATTGAAATATTATGCAATTCACTAGCACCGCGGGCATACAAAAATACAGTCTTACTGTTGAAAGCCCACGCTATCACTGAATTTTCTTGTTTTATACATTTTATAAAAAAGTATATTCTACACTCTTCTAGTGCATTCTTTGTGCAAAACTGAAAAATGTAGACAATGTGGGAAGGAGGAATTCATATATAAAAAATAACATGTGACTCTCTTGAGGATTGCCTCAAAATTATGAACATACAGAACAACCCTAATGTTATTTTATTACTAGTAAGGTATATTTTGGAAGTTGAAGTCGGGTATATATTGCCCTTTGGTCTTTATATAATTGTTATTTTAAGAAGTAAAAGGGCAGTAATTACTTAATTACGAGCCTTTGGGCATCATGGTCGTGAATCGTAGGCACTTCATATAGCATATATATTGATGCTAGAGGCATAATGGCATACTGGGATATTGAAAATTTACATGATATCTAATTAATTAATTAAGTGTACATTTTTGAGCATCCATGTTACCAAATAAGTTGAACACATATTTGAATTTTTATGTTCATACAAGTTCACATTGAAGCCTGACATACAAGTTCTTTTCATCACATAAAATAGAGTTTTTAGAAGTTTGTATCTTGGTTGCTATGGATACCTGACACCTTTCTAAAGATTGTAACGTTTATTTCATATTCAAATGTGACATTTTGCCGATCAACAACACTATCATAAATGGATTAGATTACATTTTTATGAATATATTTCCTGCGCTTGATAAATGACTAGTGTTTACAGCAATGACAATTAAAACTTTAGGGTGAAAAGATGTATGTTTGAAGGTTAACAATGTACAATGGAATGAAAGAAATAAGAATTTGACCAATAATGATAAATAACATTTGTATTATATTGTGAACTGCAGTCAAGGGTATTGCAGTAATGCTAAGAAAACATTGCAAAATGCAAGTGGTAGTAATTTATCAATTTTTTTTTGAAGATGCTGCATTTGAGTGAATTTATCTTGAGGTGCTTGATCAATCTAAAACAATGGTAAAATACACTCTGGGAATGTCAACATGGATTAAAAGTAACACTTATTAAATAATGTCCATTATTAAATATGAGCAATAATACTCACTGTGTCAACATTTCAGGCTCATCTCTTCTCATTGGGAATGACCTTATTCTTCACTACCAGTGCCTTAACTGCTGCCGAGAAACCAAGAAACAAAGGCCTCAGTCCAAACTTCCAAAACCTCCTGGGACATATGACGACTGAAGATTTTGAAAAACGTGCAGAGATTGATTACGTCATAAAGAAATGTGATGAAATTCTAAAAGATTTGAAGTCGCAAGAAATCTGTCAGAAGTTTTCAGGGGATGCAAGACTAAATACTGCCAGAGAAGGTACTGTACCACTACCATCATGCAGCAGTTGCTATAGAATTATGGGACTTAGCATGCAACAGTTGCTATTAATTATTATATAATTGAAATATTTGATTTGCTATAATTATGTTGTTAATACATTGGAAAGAGATTATTTAAATTGTATTTAAACAAATTATATAAGAAGAGTGATTTGGGTTTCCCCAAGGCTGTGTTGATCACATTGTTTTTCTTGGTTATTCATATTGTTTTTATCGCACTTTGAAAAAGTGCTATATTGTCGTCGTCTTGTGCTGTTGGGCGGGGGTGCGGGCGGGCGGGACATAAACCAAATCTTGTCATCAAATTGCCAGGATAACTGCTTACCTGTTCAACTTGAAATTTTTACAGATGCAAGAGCAGACTAGTACCAAGATCTGATTAGGTTAAGGGCATGCTGGGTAAACTACGTGGCGGCCATTTTGAATTTTTCAACAAATCTTGTCATCAAAATTCCAGGAAAACCACTTATCCGTTCAACTTGAAATTTTTAAAGATGCAAGAGCAGACTATTGCCAAGATCTGATTAGGTTTTGGGTATGCTGGCTGAATTACATGGTGGCCATTTTGAATTTTTCAATTTGGCGGCCATTTTGAATTTTTCAACTTGCTCCAAATTGACCAAATTATTTTTTTTAAAAACATCTACAAGTTCTCAGAAGTTCAAATCTGACCTTAGATTTCAGATTTGACCTTTCATTCACCTTCAGTGACCTTGAAAAGGTCAAAAAAGTTGATTTTCTAAATTGATATTTTGGATTTAAATTTAGGTCAGCTTAATTACAAAACACCTACTGAGGTCTGAAAAAGTGAAATTTTCAAGGTCGAAGGTCAAGGTCATTAAACTAGGTCACAAATGATGTTATCCAAGTTTCTCAAAGTTTGAGACACCAAATCAATTCTTGTCATCAAAATTCCAAGAAAATCGCTAACCTGTTCAACTTGAAATTTTTACACATGCAATAGCAGACTAGTGCCAAGATCTGATTAGGTTTAGGGCATGCTGGGTAAACTATGTGGCGGCCATTTTGAATTTTTCAACAAATCTTGTCATCAAAATTCCAGGAAAACCACTTATCCGTTCAACTTGAAATTTTTACAGATGCAAGAGCAGACTATTGCCAAGATCTGATTAGGTTTTGGTATGAGTACCGTAATCCAACACCAAATTCGAAAATTCATAACAATGCACATATGGCGTTCGTGACCAACTATAAAACGCTTACCCCCCATGGTGTTATATATCAAAATGTACCTGTTCTTATTGAGGTTCGATTGATCTACATCAAATTATGAGGAGTCAGGTTACTTTTTGAGATATCAGCGTCCATTTATTGTGACTCGCGTTTGCTACCACTTCCTCAATTCTGATATGACGGGCAAACGCGTAGTAAACATGCTCAAGTCGGAACTATTTTTGACCTACATCGCTATTTTAGTAATTCAAATGAAAGTTGAACTCCTCCTCTTTATTTTGATACCAAATAGTGGCATACTAGGTACCCTAGAAGCCAACTATGGCGTTATTTAGAACAATACCACGAGTTTTTAAATGGACTATATAGGGGTCATACCTTTTGGCGGATGGATTTGGAACCTCATACCTTAATGTTTTATGACATCACACTGATTTTTGTCTCTGCAACTTTTTTTGGCAGAAAATATCATTTTTAGTTCAAAAATGCATAAAAACGTCGGAACTGGCTGAATATGTGAAAAATTTATCCATTTAGGCTAGAAAGGGTTAATTTGCCCTACCCCAAATACATCTAAATATGCTAGTCTAACTTTGCCACTGTGACGTCACAAATCTAACCTGACTATCTCTGAGTTTATTAAAGAAAATGATACGTCTGACAAACAGCTTTCATTCCCTATATGGCACACCTTCTACTAAGAGTTGCATCATTGACTAAATCTAAGACAAAGGCCCTGTGTCCCGAGGATTTTGACTGAAATTTGGCCATTTTCGCCCAAATCTAACTAAATTGCAGTTTCCCTCACACCTGTATTTTGAAATAAATATTGCTACAACGTAGCAATTTAAAAATCACACATGCTTACTGTTTCTGTCGACCTGACACGTGTATCTAGCCTGTAAAAATGAAAAATTGCTACATTGTAGCAATTTCACTGAGATATGGGCCCTGAAAATCATGTAATTATAGCAAAAAATTAAGAAATAACCTGTAATTTTGACGGAATTTCAGAGAGCTTTCTTTCATTCATGACCCTCCACGGGCCTCTTATGACCATTCTTATTCTCACAGAATGGTTGAAAGTGATTTCAAATCATTGTTTGCCCTACACAGAACGAAAAAATCGATTCTGTTCTCAAATTCTGCTAGAATATTGGTCTCTGGCCAACTAGCAGACAATTTTAGGCCTCATATTATATGCTGGCTGAATTACATGGTGCCCATTTTGAATTTTTCAATTTGGCGGCCATTTTGAATTTTTCAACTTGCTCCAAATTGACCAAATTGTTTTGTTAAAAACATCTACAAGTTCTCAGAAGTTCATATCTGACCTTAGATTTCAGATTTGACCTTTCATTCACCTTCAGTGACCTTGAAAAGGTCAAAAAAGTTGATTTTCTCAATTGATATTTTGGATTTAAATTTAGGTCAGCTTAATTACAAAACAGCTACTGAGTTCTGAAAAAGTGAAATTTTCAAGGTCGAAGGTCATCAAATTAGGTCACAAACAATGTTATCTAAATTTTATCAAATTTCAAGACTACAAATAAATTCTTGACAACAAAATTACAGGAAAACCGCTAACCTTGTCAACTTGAAATGTTTACAGATGCAAGAGCAGACTAGTGCCAAGGTCTGATTAGGTTTTGGCCATGCTGGGTAAATTGCATGGTTGCCAGTTTGCTCTTCAAAGTGCGATATTTATCACTGTGTGTCTTGTCAAATTCTGAATTATAATCTTTCTCTTTGATATAGTTGACAAAATATGTGAAACATTCAAAACAAGACACATCTTCATCATTCAATTGTGAAATGTGAATTAAGATATTTGATCAAATATAGAATTACCTGAAGTGAAGATATCAGATACAGGAAAGTCCAAATTTATTAGACGATTTCACTTTTTTGCCATTTAACTTTTCTTGAAATAAAATCAGACTGTTAGATATTTTTATCGCACTTTGAAAAAGTGCTATATTGCCGTCGTCTTGTGCTGTTGGGCGGGCGTGCGGGTGTGCAGGCGTGCGGGCGGCACATAAACCAAATCTTGTCATCAAATTTCCAGGATAACTGCTTACCTGTTCAACTTGAAATTTTTACAGATGCAAGAGCAGACTAGTACCAAGATTTGATTAGGTTAAGGGCATGCTGGGTAAACTATGTGGCGGCCATTTTGAATTTTTCAACAAATCTTGTCATCAAAATTCCAGGAAAACCACTTATCCGTTCAACTTGAAATTTTTACAGATGCAAGAGCAGACTATTGCCAAGATCTGATTAGGTTTTGGGTATGCTGCAAGGAGGATTGGCTCCCAGAGTGCAACATCGATATTCTGTCCCATATATAGGCATGTCGTGCTACAAAATTTGAATTGCAACAGCCGCCATTTTGTTCACTTCAACATTTGAATCGTGAATTTTGGTCTTATTTCCTAACGAAAAATTCCAAAACTCACAGGAAATGATCGAGATATTGGTTCGAATCTTTTGAACTGTTTATTTTGAATTTATAATCGGTTATAATTTCAGAAAATAACGACATCTCGGCGTTTTCATTGTTGGAAAATATCGACTTCGATTCTGGGAGCCAATCCTCCTTGGGTATGCTGGCTGAATTACATGGTGGCCATTTTGAATTTTTCAATTTGGCGGCCATTTTGAATTTTTCAACTTGCTCCAAATTGACAAATTTTTTTTTTAAAACATCTACAAGTTCTCAGAAGTTCAAATCTGACCCTTCATTTCAGATTTGACCTTTCGTACACCTTCAGTGACCTTGAAAAGGTCAAAAAAGTTGATTTTCTAAATTGATATTTTGGATTTAAATTTAGGTCAGCTTAATTACAAAAGACCTACTGAGGTCTGAAAATGTGAAATTTTTAAGGTCTAAGGTCAAGGTCATTAAACTAGGTCACAAATGATGTTATCCAAGTTTCTCAAAGTTTGACACTACAAATCAATTCTTGTCATCAAAATTCCAAGAAAACCGCTAACCTGTTCAACTTGAAATTTTTACACATGCAATAGCAGACTAGTGCCAAGATCTGATTAGGTTTAGGGCGTGCTGGGTAAACTACGTGGTGGCCATTTTGAATTTTCCAACAAATCTTGTCATCAAAATTCCAGGAAAACCACTTATCCGTTCAACTTGAAATTTTTACAGATGCAAGAGCAAACTATTGCTAAGATCTGATTAGGTTTTGCCTATGCTGGCTGAATTACATGGTGGCCATTTTGAATTTTTCAATTTGGCGGCCATTTTGAATTTTTCAACTTGCTCCAAATTGACCAATTTTTTTTTAAAAACATTACAAGTTCTCAGAAGTTCAAATCTGACCTTAGATTTCAGATTTGACCTTTCGTTCACCTTCAGTGACCTTGAAAATGTCAAAAATTTGATTTTCTAAATTGATATTTTGGATTTAAATTTAGGTCAGCTTAATTACAAAACACCTACTGAGGTCTGAAAAAGTGAAATTTTCAAGGTCGAAGGTCATCAAATCAGGTCACAAACAATGTTATCTAAATTTTCCCAAAGTTCAAGACTACAAATAAATTCTTGTCATCAAAATTGCAGGAAAACCGCTAACCTTGTCAACTTGAAATGTTTACAGATGCAAGAGCAGACTAGTGCCAAGGTCTGATTAGGTTTTGGCCATGCTCGGTAAATTGCATGGTGGCCAGTTTGCTCTTCAAAGTGCGATATTTATCACTGTGTGTCTTGTTAAAATAGGCATGACATAGAATGATGGGAATATCCCTTTAGTCTCTGTCATTAATAGCACTGAATACTTATTATGCAGTTAGGCCCACAGCATTTGTCAAGGTTAATTGTTTATGCTTATAGTCAAGCAAAGACCTCTGCACAAAGTAAGGACATATCTGAACAATTTATACATATACAAACATGTACTTTTAGGTTTTTTGAACAGGGAAATTTAAACAATGTTTTGGCTGAGTTGGACAAGGTACTGATTTAGGTTTGAAATAATATTGGGGAGATTAAGTTACACTATGTTCACATACAATTTCTCTCAAAGAACAAGTATACCTTAACTTCCCAAATGATTATAAATAACCTCCTTCAATGAAAGGACAAAACAAACTTATAATTGCTTGGTAATAATGACTGACCACAGGCATAATGCTTCAAGCTCCCTATGGTATGTTTTACTTTGTTGTTTTTTATTTCAGATCTTAACCATACACCCGCAATGAGTGACATCAGCTATGCCAGTACCCTCAATGACATATCGGAAAATCTTGATTCGGAACCAACTTCACCAAACATTTTCCTAGAAAGTGATGATCTTGAAAATTTCTATGCAAAAAAAGATTTTAATTCGAGCCGAAGTAGCTCAATTGGGGATGTCTTTGAAGCGAATAACTCACAAGGGCTAGTTAAAGATTCTCTACTTAGTGATGTTTACAATGCTAATCTCAGCCCTGATTCTGTTGGTGGACACAGTGAAAGTCGAGATATCCTTGCGTCAGACTCTTCTGTGAACGAGTTAATCAAAAAATACATGAGGAATAAAGATGGAGGGGTAAAAAACACAGGAAAAAGTAACACTTCAAAGCCCTATAGCAATTCACTAATTGCACAAAAATCAGAAGAACTGAAATCAAATTTGACTCCATCAAAAGTGGAGAGCTCTGAGAAAACTAAACCTCCTTTGAAAATAATCCCAAAAAGGAGTATTCCCGTGTTTAAGTCACCGAACACACAGTCTCAAAAGTCAACTTCCATAGAACATATTGAACGTAAAGGTCAAGGATCTGGAGGTCAAAGGTCATCAGCCATTGCAAAGATGATGGATCGAAAGATGCAGAGCAAACAAGGGTCACAAGGTTCAGCTAAAGGGCAAGATAAAAAGGAAAATGAAACAACGGTAAGAACTTTAGATTTAAGGCTCCTACAATACTTTCCTTGTTCATAATTGGTTCCCTAATAAGATTCCTTCTGCTTATACGAGCCTATGGAAAGGGGGTTTTGTCATTAACATGTAATCACGTCAGGTGGTAATACGTTTTCACGTCGTACGTTACTAATCAGAATTACTTTCACGTTTCACGTCCTTGATCATCAAAATATTACATTCACGTTTCACGAAGATCAAATATCATTACATTCACGTTTCACAGGCGTTAAATAAATCGCGCGCTAAACCGTCGAAATCACTCTCCATTTTGCTTACAAAGTCCAGACGATGGTCACATAGTCCAGATATCTCAGTATATCAGGTCGATCTTTGTATTCGCTGGATTGGCTTGCTATTGGTTGAATTTCTTCTAAGTCGTTATTCTCGACCAATCAAATAGAAGACAAAATATTAAAATATACCGATGGTATTACACCTCTCTTATTTTAATCTTTGTTTGTAACTGGTGTTCTGATTGGCTAAAAACAAAAAAATTTAGAAATAGTAACTAATTACATTTGAGTTTACAAAGTCGACAAATAAGATGTATCACAAAAGCGAAGGTAGGATCAGATGTATTCTCGCCGAACGAAGTTTCATTTATTCTGAAAACGTAGCACGAAATAACGAGACTGAACGGCGTCACGGAGGTCTCATAATTCAAAATACGATGCACGAGGCAATGTTTATTGACTTCACGATGCACGGGGTTAACTTCATGAACGTCTGCACGGGCCTGCAGGACTTGCATTTCACGTTTCTCGTTCAATAAAATCCACTAAAACGCTGCACGCGCGAACCCTTTCCATAGCCTCTTATACGTATACAGCAATTGTGCTACACACGTCTGTTCATTATGCTGTACAATTTACCGATAGAACAGTGTTTTTAAGTAAGTAGTTTTCTTATCTTTTTTCGTCTTATATACATAATTTGCCTCAATCTGCATCATCAAGTGTGCACTTTGGTTATAAAATATCCTTAGAAAAAATATTCCAACATTAATGATAAAACATATGTAGACATGTAAACTGAAGAAATTTTGGCATACAAATTGGGTCATTCCATTTGGGGAAATGTACAGGGGTAAATATTTGGTGATAGGGGGAGATCATGGATGACAAATAATTTCAGGGGGTGGGTCCAGACCAAAAGGTCCAAAAAGGTTCTTTGCAACAGGAAGTTGTGTACAATGTTATGCACCTGGGGATGTACAAAGGTTCAAGGTTAGGCGAGCCTGACATAAAAAATATGTTATTTTATACTTATATCGAAACATGATTTCAATCTGTAACTTACACTTACTTATACATGTACTTATACTTATAAACATACATATCAGTTTAAGTAGAATTAAAAAAATCTCTAATATTAATGACTTCTTTTTCAGGGCAATAGTGTTGTTATAACATTTATAATACACATGAATATATTGTGTACCTGTTTTAAAAGATGGCGCTATTGTTTTTGAGGATTAGTGGTTCAATGCCAAGGAGGATTGGCTCCCAGAGTGCAACATCGATATTCTGCCCCATATATGGGCATGTCGTGCTACAAAATTTGAATTCCAACGACCGCCATTTTGTTCACTTCAACATTTGAATCGTGAATTTTGGTCTTATTTCCTAACGAAAAATTCCAAAACTCACAAGAAATGATCGAGATATTGGTTCGAATATTTTGAACTGTTTATTTTGAATTTATAATCGGTTTTAATTTCAGAAAATAACGACATTTCGGCGTTTTCATTGTTGGAAAATATCGACTTCGATTCTGGGAGCCAATCCTCCTTGGTTCAATGCATTGATTTTTATGAATTTTTATTTTATCTGAATTTCATTGACCTGTCAGCACTAGACATAATAGCATTGCAATTTTGATGTCATAGTTACAATTTGTCCATTTGTTAAGCAACTCTGTGTGAGCACAGGAGCTGTGCGTCCTTGTGGTTTCAAGAAGGATCTTGATTTGCTCAGAGGAAACACTTCGAACAGAAGTCATATGTTTTTTTTGTTCATTCATGAATAATTAACAAAACTCACAGCATCTAGCCATCTTTACTCTCTCTCAACATCATTTCTCATATTATTTTTTAGATTTCTTGTATCACAATCACTTTTGTTCTCCCCTACTGTAACTTGAGAGACATGGAATAGAAGTATACTGTTCACATTCAATAAGCATATTTTAGTAGTGGATTGGGAACTTATGCTTTTATTTATGCACCATTAGAGGATCTGGGGAGGGGGGGGGGGCTGGGGGCCCAGGTCCCCCCTTGGGTGAGCCCAGAAAACAAAAAGGTCTTAATGCCCCAAAAAGTGTGCCTTTTGGTCATTACTGGCCTTTTAAGGCCTTATTTCTTAAATTTTAGGCCAAATTTTGAAAAATGGCCCTAAAATTTCAATATTTGCGAGAGGTATACAGTGGGAGATTATGCAGCTTGAGATGTACAGCAGGAGATATACATATGTCCCGATCCCTCAAGATATCAAATCTATATCCTGCCGTTATGTACCTGAAACCTAATTTCTCAAAGAGGATAAGCATTGTTATCCCCGGGTTGTTATCCCACTGAAATAAGTTGGAGGGGGGTATAGAAAAGCCATCTAGTTCATCCGTTCTATAAGCTGAAGCCACAAGAGCTCTGCTGGAAATGAATTTTCAAGAGGGCAGCTGATTTTCCAAATGGCTGCCATTATTATAAAAGGACGTAATCTTCAATAACTTGAATGCCATTGGATGGATCTGATTCAAATTTTATATGCTGATGCTTTGAGACAAATGAGCTCTGCTCAGGAAGAAATTTTCAAAATGGCAGCTTAATTTCAAAATAGCCACCATTTTTCATAAAAACGTAATCTTTGATTCTTTGATAACTCAAATACCAGTCTATGGTTTTGATTCAAATTTTATATGCTGATACCTTTTCAAAATTTTCAAGATGGCAGCTATTTATCATTTGTTTGGTGGGATTTGGTTCTCCCTGGTGTTGCTATTTTCAAGTTCTGGGATTAAATATTTGTATATCATTATGTCCAGTATCAGATTGAATATTGAGCTTGATGGCATAATTAGTACCCTTTGCATTCGTTTGACTTCACTTCTTAAAAGAGAGCTTCGTCTTCACTCTTTCAAACTAAATCAGTGCCAATCAGTGTTCGTCGGCCAAATTTGACCGATGCTCTATATATGGTCATTCCTTCTGACGTCATCGTTGAGCCCGGAATTGACCAATGACATGCACATATTTAATTAGAACGCATTTGGCGTGTGTTTCTTCAAGCTCGCTGAATGGTGGAAGAAAGGTCAGCACATAGGTCAGAAGTGATTTATTACTCAAACTGTCACCGGTACCCGTCGTGGGGGCGGGGCTACTAAACTATAATATGGTCTCTACTAGGCAGAGTGTAGTTTAACTAGACTCTGCACGCAGGGTACATAATTAGGCATTTCTGCCTGGTATTCAAATGTTCAAATGGAGTTCAAAATAAGGAGTGAATTGATAGAATACAATTTATTTGCTGGGATTTACCATTCACGAGAGCTACTGACTTTTGTAGGTTTTAAAACGCAGAATATTCAAATGGCAAAAGGAACATTTGATTAAGGAATACATTTATTCTCTATCAAATACAATGGCATGTTATGATTGAAAATCTATGCATTATTTATGTGTGGCTATGAGAGGTGATACCTGAGTATGTATCATTCTATCAATTATATTATTCAAGTAGATAGTTATTTATTCATACAAAGCTAAGCTAGGTCATACAAAGCTAAGCTAGGGAAGGTGTTTCCAATAACGCAGATGCGAGAAGGTAGTTACCAGTTTCACCACCAGGTGGCTCGTTCGGGTCAGATAGCATGGCGGGTATAGCAGAAAGTTCCCTTTAACTTAAATTACATCTGTTTTAGTGGTTCAATTTTCATATTACCCTTATGTATCTAATAGCTATGCAAATCAAAATATGTCCAGTAAATGAAAATGTTATCTGACCAATACAAGAAAAGATATTTCCCTTTTTGTGATTTTGTAACATGGGCTCTATGGAGAATCAGCCCGAACTAGAAGTCACATTTTCAAAAATAATTAAATTTTCAAACTTGATAAGCAATTTTCGAAACCATGTTTCTAGATGTACATTTACATGTAGATTTCAAATATAACATCGCTTTGACTGAATTTTGAATATTTAATGGCGTAAATCAAGATTTTTTCTACTCGCATCTAGTCTATTCCTGCTAATCAGAACATACTATTTCATATAACCGCATTGTATTATTAAACCAACACTTCACCCAAGGTCACTTGTTCAATGGTTGTCAAGATTGAAATTGCATGGTCATGGAAAGATTTGGAAAGAACACCTTGATTCAGCACACAATGCATAGAGTCCAGGGCTTAAATGCTTAATTAGTACTATTGAACAAAAAAATCATGCATATTTTTCATAATATTATCTTTAAATATATATCACAAAATAAAATATTACGCAGTTTGTCATGAAGATGAAATATTAAATTTGGCAACCCACTGTTTTTCATTCATTATATTACTATATTTTTTCATTTTAGGTTGGCAACTATGACTATATTCGATCTCAGTGCTCTCCCCACATTGAAATCTCTGAGGCGTAGCACCTCCATGTATTTTATAAAACCAAAATGCTCATCAATGCAATTAGATGCTCCTCTGAAATGTTACAATAAAAAATAAAGAAATCCTAAAATGTTGCGCAAAAATTACAAAATCATAAAATGTTGCACAAAAAATTACAAAATGCTAAAATGTTGCTCTAAAAAATAACAAAATACTTCATACAAAAATGCTGGGGAGAGCACTGGATTTGATAAGTATGAATTCTTAAAGACAGTTATAGTTGCTCAGCTAAGCTACTGTAATAAGTGATTCCCGACATTTTGATATGCACATGTATTTGCTCAATATAAAATGGGTCAAGACTTGTGTC